CTACCCTGATGATGCCAGAATGGTAAATGCAATGATAGCCAACTTGGAGAGGGAAGCAGCTGAGTGGGTGAACAGCTTGCATGCTGGACACAAACCTATTCATGGAGCAATTGATGGCAAGGTTTGAGGATGAGCCCCAAACTCTGCAGGCAGAAAAGATGATCCACCGTTTGAAACAAAGTGGTTGCTCAGTGAAAGAATATGTCCAGGAATTATGGAGAGTTGCTGGTCGCTTAGGAAAGTGGTGTAGATCCACTACTTCAAGGAAGGGCTGGACTGTGATCTAGTCCAAGTGTGCATCTACCAAGGAATTCCAAATGAACTGCAAGAGTGATATAGCATAGTGGTGACCCTGGATATCGAGCTGGATTGGGCCAGGAAGTCAGCGATCGCAGAGTCAAAGCTGAAACAGGGACTGGAGAAACACTTATTTGGTCAATGCCCCCAGTCTGCCTCTGTGGCCAGCGCTCCCCAAGAACCTGCCGGAGCTCCCATCTAGTACTTCAGATGTGGTCAGCAAGGTCATTGAGCCACAGAATGCCTGGCTCCTGCCCCTCAAATCAAGGGTGCACCCATTCTGACTGCCAAGTCGAGGAACCCACCATGAGCAGGACGAGAGAAGTCTAATTGGGCTCAACAGGAGCAGGCTGTCCAAATCTCCTCTCCGTCTCAGAGAGAAGCAAGACCTCCAACTAAGCACCTGCCCCTACCAGCAATTTATGATAGTGATGAGGATGGTGAAGATAATCTGATAGTAAGTCGATCCATCCTGCCTTTCATTATTCCTATATAATCGTACAGGTCATCATCGTATCTTTTTTATTGAATTATTATTTTTTTCTATGCAAAATGAAAAGAAATCTTTAGCCTGTTAGAATCTGGAGAAAAGAATGAGGCTGGTTAAAAGCTGAAGTCTTAAACACATCCCCTTAGGATGTTACCAATTCAGGGTTCTGCCTTTTGGGCTTCAAGGAACAAATTGACTATCTGGGATATCGGATCTCGCCAAGTGGCATAAAGATGGATCCTGAAACCAAAGGGGAGGGGAAGCCAAAACCAAGCCAATCACTGAAATGAATGGTAGACTGTCAAACCACATTTGAAAGACTGAAAAGATTATTTTCCGCAGAAGCAGTGTTAAAGCACCCTGATACTGATAAACCATTCACAATTCAAGCTGATGCCAGCGATGTAGCCGTAGAGGCAGTATTAATGCAGGAGAGTGATGAAGGGAAGTTGCAGCCTTGCACATACACATCAAGGAAACTCACAGAGACAGAGCAGAGGTGGGCAGTCTAGGAAAAGGAGGCTTATGCAGTCCGATGGGCCCTCCTAACCTGGCAACATTTCCTGGAAGGGAACAAAATCCCCTTCCAAGTATGGACTGACCACAAGAACCTAGAAGCCTTAAAGATGCCCAAAAAACTGACCCCTAAACAAGCGAAGTGGTCACAGCATTTTCACCAATTTAATTTCACCCTAAAACACTGGGAGGAAAGAATTTCCTAGCTGATGCGTTGCTCCACAATCAACAGCAAAAGAACAGAGATAAAAGACCCACTCATGCCATCAACACAGTTGGCAGCACAAATCACTACCTGAGCGCAAGCCAAAAACCAGAAGCCTCTAATAAGCCAAACAGGGATTGAATTCCAAAAAGCACTAGAGACTGACGAATGGTTCCTAAGCCACAAGAACCTATGCACTATGACTGATGGACTGCCATGGGTGGGAGGGACATTGTACATTCCAAAAAGCCAGAGACTGCCTTTTATGCAGCTATGTCATGACTTGAAATCAGCTAGCCATTTCGGGGTTGTAAAAACTTTACATCTAGTGAAACAGCAGTTTTGGTGGCCATTGATAAAAAAGAACATTGAAAGCTACCTGGCTAGTTGCATGATTTGTGCTACAGCTAAGAGGACACAGGGGAAAACCCCAGGCTTGTTGCAAACAGCAGCAACCCCATCAGCGCCTTGGAAAGAAATTTCTATGGACTTTATTATGGAGTTACCAGAAAGAGGGGGGAACACAGTCATTTGGGTTGTGACGGATTTATTCTCTAAACAAGTATGTTTTATCCCTTGCCAAAAAATCCCCAGTGCAAAGATACTTGCAAAGTTATTTGTTCAACATATTTATCAACTTCATGGGGCCCCACAACGAATCATATCAGACAGGGGAGTACAATTCACATCAGAATTTTGGAGAGCATTCCTGGACTTTTGGGGACCGCTCAAGGGTTGTCATCTAGTCATTATCTGCAAGTGAATAGTGGGATTGAATGGTCGAACTCAGTACTGGACCAGTACCTAAGATGTTTCATTAATTACCAGCAAGACAATTGGACCAAACTACTTCTGTTCGCAGAAATCACTTATAATAATGCAGTATATTCCAGCACGGGCTACACTCCTTTCCGGGTGGCAATGGGACAAAGTTTCAACCCAATACCTGAGCGAACCGACTATTCCTTCCCTGAAGAAAGGGATTGCACAATTACAAAATACCTGGCCAGTTGTAAGAAAGGCTTTAGACAAGGCTACGGAAGCATATAAATTCCAGGCAGATAAGAAACAAAGTGAACCCAAACCATTTCAAGTAGGAGAGAAAGTTTATCTGTCAACAAAATACTTAAAATCCCTGCAGCCATCAAAGAAGCTGGGCCCAAAATTTGTGGGACCATTTTCCATTAAAAGAATAATCAATCTGGTCGCAGCAGAATTGGAGCTTCCTAAGACACTCAGACAGATTCACTCAATTTTTCACTGTAGCCTTCTGAAACACAAACTGCAATTGCCCTTAAGGCCAGCTGCAGCTCGTTCCCCTCCTCCAATCATGGTAGGAGGTGAACAACATTTTGAAATCAAGGATATTCTAGATTCCAGGAAACATCATGGTTCCATCCAATACCTAGTGGCCTAAAAACATCTGCCTCTTTCCCAAAACGAATGGGTTCAGAAATGTCACGTTAGAGTCCCCAAATTATATAGTAAATTTCATGCTGCATATCCAGATAAACCAGACTAACCTTTGTCTACCTCTTTCTGTTTATTTACAGGTGGATCTGTCTTTTTTCTAAGGGGGGCAGCATTTCAGAACCCACTTCCTTCCTGGCGGGGATCTATTTCATTTCTCTTTATTTCTTTCTTATTTCTTTCTCTGGGTTCTGCCAGAGAATTCTTATTACCTGTTTCCAGGCAAAATGCAATTTCCCCCAAATGAATGCTGTAATATTAATTAATTAATTAATTAATTAATTAATTAATATGAATGGGATGCTATCTGTAATATACAGTTAATTAAATACACTAAATTATCATATAGTTCTTTACACATCTACCCAAAATAAAGTATTATAGAACACAGAACATAGAATAATAGATTTGGAAGGGACCTTGGAGGTCTTCTAGTCCAACCTCCTGCTCAAGCAGGAGATCCTATACCAGAGTTCCCTAAACATTTGCAGTTTGTGGCCTGGAACGGGGAGAAAGAAGGGATGGTTTTGTGGGAGGAGTAAACACATGCACATGCACGTGTGTGTGTGTGTGTGTGTGTGTGTGTGTGTGTGTGTGCATGAACACCTGTTGCTCGCATGAGAGGGTGACACTGCTGTGAGTGGGGCCATGAACACCCATGATGCTTGTGATGATGCTCATGCAATCACCTGCAACAATGCTTGTGGTGATGCTCACATGAGTGGGTCTGTATGCAGATTCGCACACATGTGCATCAACAAGCCACTCACGCAGTCCAGTGGCCAATAGGCCGTGGCCTGGTAGTGGGCCACAGCCCACAGGTTAGAGATCCCTACACTATACCATTTCAGACATATGGTTTTCCAGTATTTTTTTGAAAGCTTCCAGTGATGGAGCACCTATAACTTCTGAAGGCAAATTGTTCCATTGGTTGATTGCTTTAACTCAGCGGTTCTCAACCTGTGGGTTGCGACCCCATTTGGGGTCGAACGACCATTTCACAGGGGTCGCCAAACAACGCAGTCTGTCATTTTTTCCACCATTTTTCCCCTTTTCCTTAGCTGTGCTACTCCCTCTTATTCTATTGGCTTTCGAAAGCCAAAAGAATAGACTCTCTTGAACAGAGTCTAATTCTATTGGCTTTCAAAAGCCAATAGGAATTGTCAGGCTGTCTCTGCCCTGCTGAGCCCACCAAAAGCCCCAGTCTGCGAACATTCTGCAAAGCTTCCCTCCCTGCCGAGCAACTAAAAAGTAAGTAAAAGAGGGCCGGGGATGGGAGGTGGGAGGCCGGTGGGCACAGGGAGGGTTGCTGGTGCACGTGGGGCCCAGCGGGTGCCTTATCTGCCTTGGGCTGGGCCAGCTGGTGGCCCAGCCAGTGGTCGCCCTGCGCCGTCGCTGCCGTGGCCACCCAGGAGCGCCTGGGCCTGCCTGCCGCTGCCCCTTGCCAGCTATGCCTCGGCCGGCACAGGGGGCGGCACCACACATGCGCAGCACTCCCGGGCAGGGAAATACAGGTAGTCCTTGACTTACGACCGGGGTCGCAGCTATAAAAAGGTTGAGAACCACTGCTTTAACTGTTAGGATTTTTTCCCCCTTAATTCTTGGTTGCTTCTCTGCTTGGTTGGTTTCTATGCATTATTTCTCATCTTGCCTTTTGGTGCTTTGGAAAATAGTTTAACCCCCCTTGACTTTGTAGGAGCCCCTCAAATATTGAACACTGGTTCAATGTCTTCCTTAGTCCTACTTTTCATTAGACTAGACATATCCAATTCCTGTAAGCATTCTTTATATGTTTTAGCCTCCAACCCTTTAATCATTCTTGTTGCTCTTCTCTGCACCCTTTCCAGAGTCTCAACATCTTTTTTTTATCGTGGTGATCAGAACTAGATGCAGTATGGTATTATTAAGGCTTATAAAGTGGTACTAGAACTTCACATGATCTTGATTCTATCCCTCTATTAATTATATTTTTAATTAATAACATTATATTTTTATAGAGTGGGAAAAAGATATCTTACTTACTGAGGTTCCATTTTAGACCTGTTGTTGTTACACATTCACAAGGATTCCCAACTGGAATTAAACCACACCACTTCCCTTCAAGTCCTGTGTTCACTAGAAGTTTGTGCTTACCCTGTAACACAGAGAGAATGCTGATGCAAACACAAATGCTATGTTAAAACAAGTAAAGCAAACACAAGCCAAATCTGAGACATTATATTATGTTATAACATTTCCTTCATTCTTTAGATCTATTCACATTTACTTGAGCATAGGTTTCATTGAATTTAGTGTTGTTTTGATTGTTCAAAACAGAATGTACATGAAATGTGCACTTTTAAAAGAATATAGATGAAATATGAAAAGCTGTTCTTTGATAAAATATTAATGTACTCTTCTTAGAAAATTTTAAACTTTCAAAATCAATTTAAATTATTATAGGTTTTGATCTAATCTAGTTACTGAGTGCATTGTGGATCACCTAGATCAAGTCCTAACCCAGTCATTGTCAATCAATTAAGTTTGCAATCTCCCCTTTGCAGATGGTTGGGAAAACTAATAACAGGAGAATATTTGTCTTCCAGAAAACAATTGAACCACAGAAAATGAACTTTTTGAAATGTGGAAGCATTAGGGTTATACAACTTTAAATGAAATGGATAATTGGCTATTAGTCATGAGTATCAAGCATCTCTGGATTCAGTGGCATAAGATTTGTGAGTATCAGTTGCTAAAAGAAAAATAGGGTAGGGTATCTATAATGATTTATAAAACTTATTTATTCAATTTCATATCTAACTTTAAAATCATAATTTTCCCAAATCACTAAGCTTATGAATTTTTTGGTAGAATACCCCTCTTCATTATTGCAACAAGTTATTTGATCTGGTGATTCATTATGAATTTCATTAAAACAAGATTTGATCTGATGATTCATTATGAATTTCATTAAAACTATTGGCTTCAGGTTCAAAACACATGACAAAAAATGACAAAGACAATTGGATGCAAGGAGTCAAAGGTCCGTTTTGTGACGCACATTTTTTTTTATTGAAAAGTTTTATACAAGTTTTTTATTGAGCCTGAGTAAACTTCACATTCCCAACCCAAATTGCCTCCCATGTATCTAATAAAATCGGCTCTTGAAAATTTTGAGCCCATTTTATCATACAATCTTTGACTAATTCCATCTCTGAATCCAATTCCACTAAAACATTATAAACTCTCTTTATATGAGCTCGATTTTGATCTCTAATTTGTTTTATCAAATTCTCATCTTCTAAAGTAAAACCAACCTTTTGGTCTAAACTCCATCTATCTAGCAATTGCCTATACTGAAACCAAGAGTAAACAATATTTTCTTGCCTTAATTCATCTAACGATTTTAATTGCCAATCCTTCCCTTCAAATTTAAGCAATTGATTATAAGAAATCCTATCCAACTTCACACCTCTCAATATCCCCTCTACTGCGTGTCCAGGAATCCCCCAAATTGGCATTTTATAATTTAATCTATTTAATATTTCTTCCAGACACGCAATAGAGCAGTTAAAATATGAGACTTAAAAGCCCTATCTACTTTCTTGTTATAAATTAAATAAGCATGCCATCCATATAATAAATCCCAACCCTCCAAAGAAAGTATATTTTGATTTGTTAAATTAATCCAATCACTAATCAATATTAAAGCTGCAGCATCATAATACAATTTCAAATTAGGCATCTTAAGTCCTCCTCTTTCACGTACATCCTGTATAATCTTGAGCTTAACTCTTGGTTTTTTCCCTGCCCAAATAAATTTATTAATACCCTTCTGCCACTCATCTAAATTAACATCTTTCTTCAAAATAGGTATCATTTGGAATAAAAAAAGAAATTTTGGTAGAACATTCATTTTAACAGCAGAAATTCTCCCTAACAAAGATAATTGTAATTTTTTCCAATCATTTAAATCCTTTTGCATTTTAATCCATAATGTTTCATAATTATTTTTATACAATTTTACATTAGAAACAGTTACATATACCCCCAAATATTTAACCTTTTTTACAATTTCAAAACCTGTCAAATTAACTAACATTTCCTTATCCTTAGTAGTCATATTTTTAGATAATATTTTAGTCTTATTATTATTAACCTTAAAACCAGAAATGTGCCCATACTGAGTTATAATTTGTAACAAGTCTAAAACCGAATGAGTCGGTTGAGATAAAGTAATTATCAAATCATCAACAAAAGCTCTTAACCTATAACCCTTCTTATATACCATTATTTCCTTTATTGTAGTTGACTCACAAATTTTTATTAACAAAATTTCTAGTGTTAAAACAAACAATAAAGGAGATAACGGACATCCCTGTCTTGTACCTTTTCCAATTTGAAAAACCTCCGTTAATCCTCCATTAATTATAATTTGAGCCGATTGTTGTTGATAAATGCCCCTAAGGGCTTGCAAAAATTTATCCCCAAAATTCATCTCCTCTACTACTCTTAACAAAAATTGCCAATTTAACTGATCAAAAGCTTTTTCAGCATCTAAAAAAATCAAGGCAGCAGGAATCTGGTTATTTTTATCCAAGTACTCAATTAAGTTAACAATTTGTCTAACATTATTTTTCATATATCTTCCAGTTATAAAACCAGATTGATCAGTATGAATCACTTGTTTCAGAAAAAACATTAATCTATTCACCAATATTTTAGAAAAAAAATTATAATCTATATTCAAAAGTGATATAGGTCTATAATTTTTAGGCTGAGTAAGATCTTGATCTTCTTTTGGAATCAGCGATATAAACGCCCTTTTCCAAGATGGAGGTATCTCTGCACCCAATAATATACTATTAAAAAGTTCCTTTAATGGTTCTATCATCTCTTCAGATAATGTTTTATAATAAATTGCTGTCAATCCATCTGTACCAGGTACTTTACCAACCTTTAATTGTTTAATAGCCATAATAATTTCCTCTGAAGTAATTAAACCATTAATCTCATCTCGTTGATCATTTGTAAGCTTAGGAAAATGAGCTTCTTGTAAATACTTATCTATGTCCAAACTCTGTACCTTTTCACCAGTGTATAATTTTGTATAAAAATCTAAAAAAGATTTCTTAATCAACTCTTGCTGAGAAACCACTTTACCTTTGTAATTTATTCTATCTATAATCCTAAACGTCTGTTTCTTCCGTAATTGATAAGCCAACCACCTACCAGGCTTATTTGCATTACAAAAAGTATTATGTTTCATATAACGTAGGTTGGTTGCAACCTGATCAGCCATTAACATATCCTTTAAGCATATTTATAAAGGCCTTTAAATTATTATCCAGAGGAATTGTGACACACATTTTGTCATTTAATGTAACACCCAATTTGGATTCCAATGAGCTTCAGGTTGCCTATGTTTATATTGTCTTCTCTACTCAAGATGATTTTAGTTTATTTATTTAAAACATTTATTTAGCCATCCTTTTTCTAAGCATCTCTAGGCAGCTTCTAATCAAATGTTAAAACAACATATAGAATCATATGAAAACTATAAACTAAACATATGAAAATATTAAAAAGACCTGGTGCCAAGTCAGATTTCTAATGTGCAATTATTCAGACTTATTCCAGCTCTTACAGCAAAAGCCAGGTCTTCAAAGCTTTACAGGAGGTTAAGAAGGTAGAGGTCTTCCAGACTTCATGGACCACAGCAAAGGCATATTTCCTAGCTCTCATCAGATAGCAATATTTAGGGAAAGGGACTAGGAGAATGTCCACTCTATATGACCTTGTAGGATGGGTAGATTTCCTTAGGGAAAGCCAGTCTCAAAGATATGGCCCTGTACCATATTGAGCTTTAAAGGTAATGACCAGGATCTTGAATTGTGTTCCAAAAGAAAATGGAAGTCAGTGCAGCTTGTGCACAAAGATTTTACATGAGGAAACTTTGGGGTCCCCATTACAGTATACATGTCTCCATTCTGGAGCAGTTGAAATCTCCTAGCGGTTTTCAAGGCCAACCTCATATAGAGTGCACTGCAATAATCCAAACAGGAGGTGATCAAGGCAAGAATGACTATGAGCAGTTGAGTGAATTATATTGTATAATCAAGTGGTATACAACATCAATCAACAATATAGTTCAGGAGAACATTGCTTTCAAATTTTCAAAGTTTTAGAAAAAAAGTGGTAAAGGTTTTAATGCATCTTATTTTATATTTTGGATTATTACTTCAACTTATTTGTCCATTATAAGTTTTATTTAAATTATTTAAAACTTATGAAAAAAGAAGTTACAAGGCTATCCATTTAAAAATGTTGAAATATTAAGTACATGTTACAAATCTTTGTCACTATAATAAATAGAATTTCAATGGTAATTTTTTGTGTGTGGGGGTGGGTTTCTTGCCTCAGCACAAGGGTGGCTGCACTACAAAAACTAATTAGGTGGGACTTCCGGTTAGGTGTTATGGTGTGACGGACACAGGAAGACAGGGCTCCATCTTACATGTTCAATTTTGCCCTGCTGGGGATCCTAAAAAGGGTCAAAAGTCACCCCGAAGATGTGACAAAGAAGGAGGGGACCCTCAACAATTGCAGAGGGGTGATGACCCTTCCTCTGGATCCAAGGAAGCACTCCAAACTGGCGGGGGAAAGACTGGCTACATTCGTGTGGCCAGTCAGAAACTGCTGACAACCAAAGATAAGCACTAACTAGCATTTTTTGAGCAATGTGGATGGAATTGGGTGAGACTTTATCCTCTTTTATGACTTTCCTGGAAAAAAGAATGCCCAAAGCAAAGAATCCTCTCCCAATGAGAGAGGGAAGGGAAGTTTTTACCCCGCTTCCTCAGGAAAAGAAAAGGGGTGAATTAATTGCTTTGGGTGAAAATAGAGAAAACTACAAGATCAATTTGGAATTAATACAGATACTGTATATAGCTTTGAAATTTGGAGACTAAAAGTACCTTTCAGACTTTTTTTTAGAAAAGATTTGAAACTCTGTAAAATAGGCTTGGATTTGGAAAGCTGGTGTCAATGACATCTAGTGGCGAATCATGGCACTACAATTTATTATGCTTAAAGGAAACTTGGCTTGAAGCCCGGACTTAGATAAGACTCTTTGTTCATCCTGGAAACTTTCAC